CTGAGCCTTTGACCACTGAGCTCGGGCAATGGAGCCAAGGCCGGGGGCTGCTTCCTGGGCGGCGCCGTCCCGGCAACAAGCTGAAGCAGCGCAGGAGCCCGCGGAGAACAAAGGGGTGCCACAGGCCAACCTGCTGAGCTCCCAGGACAAGGAGGAAGAAACCAAAGAAGTTCTCAATGTGAAGAAATCAAGTGAGAGCAAAAAATAGTAAAATTACATAAGAAAGAATACAAAGAAGATCTTGAAAAATCAAAGACTAAGTCAGAACTCAACTCACCAGCCAACATTGCAACATAAATGCGTTTTAAAAAGAAAAAAAAAGGACAGAATGTTGGAACAGCGACGGCCAGGCCTAGAGTGGCCAGGCACAAGGCAGTGGCAGCCAGACCCGGAGCAGCAACGGCCAGGCCCCAGAACAACAGCAGCCAGAACCAGAGCATCAACAGCCAGCACTGGAGTAGCCAGACCTGGGGCAGTGGCAGCCAGACATGAGGCGGAGGCGGCCAAGCCCAGGGTGGCCAGTCCAGGAACACCCAGACCCGGAGTGGCCGGGCCCGGAGAAGCTGGGCCCAGAGCAGCTGGGGTGGGAGCAGCCAGACCCAGAACAGCAGTAGCCAAGCCCAGAGCATCCAGGTCGGGAGTGGCCAGGCTCGGAGCGGCCGGGCCCGGGGCAGCCGGGCCCAGAGCAGCCGGGTCAGGTGCGGCCAGGCCCGGAGCAGCGGCTGCCAGGCTGGGAGCGGCCAGGCCCGGGGGAGCAGGCGGGTCGGGTGCGGCCAGGCCCGGAGCAGCGGCTGCCAGGCTGGGAGCGGCCAGGCCCGGGGGAGCAGGCGGGGCTGGAGCGGCCAGGCCCGGAGCAGCGGCTGCCAGGTTGGGAGCGGCCAGGCCCGGGGGAGCAGGCGGGTCGGGTGCGGCCAGGCCCGGAGCAGCAGCTGCCAGGCTGGGAGCGGCCAGGCCCGGAGCAGCGGCTGCCAGGCTGGGAGCGGCCAGGCCCGGGGGAGCAGGCGGGGCTGGTGCGGCCAGGCCCGGAGCAGCGGCTGCCAGGCTGGGAGCGGCCAGGCCCGGGGGAGCAGGCGGGTCGGGTGCGGCCAGGCCCGGAGCAGTGGCTGCCAGGCTGGGAGCAGCCAGGCCCGGGGGAGCAGGCGGGGCTGGTGCGGCCAGGCCCGGAGCAGCGGCTGCCAGGCTGGGAGCGGCCAGGCCCGGAGCAGCGGCTGCCAGGCTGGGAGCGGCCAGGCCCGGGGGAGCAGGCAGGTCGGGTGCGGCCAGGCCCGGAGCAGGGGCTGCCAGGCTGGGAGCGGCCAGGCCCGGGGGAGCAGCTGGGTCGGGTGCGGCCAGGCCCGGAGCAGCGGCTGCCAGGCTGGGAGCGGCCAGGCCCGGGGGAGCAGGCGGGGCTGGGAGCGGCCAGGCCCGGGGGAGCAGGCGGGTCGGGTGCGGCCAGGCCCGGAGCAGCGGCTGCCAGGCTGGGAGCGGTCAGGCCCGGAGGAGCAGGCGGGTCGGGTGCGGCCAGGCCCGGAGCAGCGGCTGCCAGGCTGGGAGCGGCCAGGCCCGGGGGAGCAGGCGGGGCTGGTGCGACCAGGCCCGGAGCAGCGGCTGCCAGGCTGGGAGCGGCCAGGCCCGGGGGAGCAGGCGGGTCGGGTGCGGCCAGGCCCGGAGCAGCGGCTGCCAGGCTGGGAGCGGCCAGGCCCGGGGGAGCAGGCGGGGCTGGAGCGGCCAGGCCCGGAGCAGCGGCTGCCAGGTTGGGAGCGGCCAGGCCCGGAGGAGCAGGCGGGTCGGGTGCGGCCAGGCCCGGAGCAGCGGCTGCCAGGCTGGGAGCGGTCAGGCCCGGAGGAGCAGGCGGGTCGGGTGCGGCCAGGCCCGGAGCAGCGGCTGCCAGGCTGGGAGCAGCCAGGCCCGGAGCAGCAGCAGCCAAGTCCAGAGCAACTAGGTCGGGAGCGGCAGTGACCAGACCCAGAGCAGCTGGTTGTGGAATGAACCAGAGCAACAGAGGCCAGGCCCTGAGCAGCCAGGCCCAGAACAGCTCGCTCCTTGCCTGCCCCTGCCCCACGGCTGCTTCTCAGACATGGCTGGAAACTTTTGTGGGAACTTGAGGGTCTGCTGAATCAAGTGATGAAGGCTTAGATCTGGATGTGTTGAGTTAGTATAGGGCTGGGGTGTTGATCTGTGAGTGCCTTGGGTGGGGCCTGGATGAGGCTGGTGGACCTATTTGGAAATGTTTTTTGTGTGAAGTGTATCATTGGGCATGTGGAGGTATTATTGATATGAGAAAATGCTAAGTAACTGATTTACTATCTGAAAAGGGATTTACTATTGGGGAAAGGGAGGGAAGAAGAGACTGAACATAAACTGTGCACCTATGGATGAGGACAATGGGAAATGGGGAGGGGGCGGAGGGTGGGTGGGAACCTGGTGGAGGGGGGAAGAAATGAGGAACCTTTGTAATAATATGAACAATAAAGATTGATTTAAAAAAAAAAAAAAATTTATCAGCCTTTATATCTTGACTGTTATATTACAGGTTGGGATAAACTTAACAAAAATCAAGAGCCACAATTATCTATAATCAACTGAAAGTAACAAAGTGTATCTTCAAAGACCTAACATTATGAGGTAAAACTTTTATCAACCCATAAAGCAAGAATAAATGCCATAAAAATTATATAGTTAAAATATTATATTGCCCTTATATAGTTAAAATACTCTATCCACTGAGCCAAATCAGTAGGGCTCAGTGGATAGAGCGTCGGCCTGAAGGGTCCCAGGTTCGATTCCAGTCAAGGCATATACTTTGATTGTGGGCACATCCCCAATTGGGGATGTGCAGGAGGCAGCTGATGGATGTTTCTAATTTTCTATCCCTCTCCCTTCTTCTCTATTTAAAAAAAAAAAAAAAAAAATCAATATATTAAAAAAATAAAGAATTAAAAATAAAATACTATAGGCACTAATAAGACACTGTAAACAATTTTTCCCTTTATTTTTGCTGCAAAAGAAGGGAGATAATGTTAATGAATTCCTGCCATGTTTTAGGCATTGTGTTTTAGATGACAGTTTATTTAACAGTCATGGCAATTCCATGGAAGTTGTTCTCTCAATTTAATAAGAAAGCTGAGATTCAAGTGATCAAGTGATGGTCTCAAGGAAAACATCCTATCCTATCCCATGTAGATAATAAAAGGCTAATATGCAAATCGACCAAACAGTGGCATGACCAGTCACTATGTTGCGCACAGACCACGAAGGGGGCAGATGCTCAATGCAGGAGCTACCCGCAGTGCTCAGTGACCAGAAGCCAGACTCATGGCTGGCAAGCACAGCAGCAGTGGCGGGAGCCTCCCCCGCCTCAATGATAGCATTAAGGTTGTCTAACTGCCAGCTTAGGGTGCAGGCCGAGCTGAGGGATTCTCCCGCCACCCCTCCCCCACCCCACCCCTTACCCCCCAAGTACACAAATTTTGTAAACTGGGCCTCTAGTAGTAAATAAAAGAACCAGGACAGGAATCCAGGCTTTGTCCCGTTCAAAAGCCTCTACTCAAAACAAATACAATCTGGGATTAAAATAGACAACACTGAACAAAACAGACAGGGCTCTGCCCTCATAAAGCTTAGTATCATGTGAGGAAGACAAACATTAAACAAGTACACAAATAAATGCAGGATGAATCTGTGTACTCATAGTGGAAAAAGATCTCTAAAGAAATGACATTGCCGAAACCGGTTTGGCTCAGTGGTAGAGCGTCGGTCTGCGGACTGAAAGGTCCCAGGTTCGATTCCGGTCAAGGGCATGTACATTGGTTGCGGGCACATCCCCGGTAGGGGGTGTGCAGGAGGCAGCTGGTCGATGTTTCTCTCTCATCGACGTTTCAAGCTCTCTATCCCTCTCTCCTCCTTTCTGTAAAAAAATTAATAAAATATAAAAAAAAAAGAAATGACATTAAGTCTAAGACTTAAAAAATAAAGAGAAATTGGTGAGGAAAGTGGAGTTAGAAGCAACTTTCAAGGTATATGTAAAACTCCTGAGAAAGAAGCAAATTTGTAATATTCAAAGCTGTAATAGTGACAGAGTGGCTAGGAGACAAGTAGATAAAACAACACTGTCAGATTAGATAGAAGTCAAGTCATATAAGGGTCTCAAAAACAAGCATGAATGTATTCAGTGTAATGAGAAACCTAGAAAAGCTGTGAGAAAGCAGCATAGTCCAATCTGTTTTTAAAATGCTATTCTGGCTATGATGTAAAGAACAGATTGGAAAAAGGCTACAATAGAAGTAAAGATCCCAGTAAGAGGCAGGGAAGAGATGGAGAGCTTAAACTAATGGGTTGCCACAATAAAGAAGTACAAAGACCACGGATATATCTGAGAGGAAGAAATTATAGGACTAATGGACTAGAGCGGGAGGGAACATCAAAATCAAATTAAAAGGAAAAATCAAAGATAATGTCCAGATGTCTAGTGTGGGTAGATGAATAGGCAGTGATTCCATCTGCTGATATGGGAAAGACTAAAATAGATTTTGTGAGGAAATTAAAAATTCTATTTAAAACATAAACCAGGCCAGCTGATGTGGTTCAGTGGTTGAGCACTGACCCAGGAAACAAGAGGGAGGTTACTGGTTCAATTCCAGGTCAGGGCACCTGCCCAGGTTTCAGGCTTGATCTCCAGTAGGGGGCATGAGAGACACCAAGTCAATGATGTTTCTCTCTCATCCTATCGATGTTTCTATCACTCTCTCACCTCTCTCTCTAAAAATCAATAAAGCATATTAAAATATATAAAACATAAGTCAGAGATGCTATGAGATTTCCAAATGAAGATGCCAAGTACGCAGCTAGAAGTCTGGAGTTTAGAAGGGGTACAGGTGATGGCCAGATGCTCCACTAGCTATCCCCATTTAAACTGTAATGCTCAAGATATTCTCAAATAACAGGATCTTCAAACCCAGCTACTTTTCACCTTCAACCTATACTTTACATAAATGGTACGTTTCAAAGCCCAAATAATATACCTCTCCTTGGAAAATAGTGTAGAGAGCAGGCAAGTTCTCCATGGTCTCGGGTCTTCCTGAATTCATCCTTAATGTTCTATGGCTCCTCCATCTCTCTTCAGCTAAAGCTAATTCAAGTGTACTGTCACAAAGAAATAAGACAGGCAATAATTTGAGACATCTGCATTAAAGAAGAAAAGTACAGACAATCCACAGCTATTTTCAGAGTAATAACATAGACTTAACACCATGTACTTTTATCCAAATCTCTTTTGTCTACTCTAATTGTGGGGAGTTTTAGAAGCCTTGATCTTATTTCTTTTCATTGTGATACTTACCCAAGGCCATCAGTTTGCTATTTTGTTTCTTGTTTTTTAATTGCTATAGTTGGTATTATTTTGCCAATGAAAGGTTTTGGAGGATGGGAGGTAAATGGATTTGAAACAGTAATAGTAATAAGAACTAACATTTATCAAGCACTTACTATGACCAGGCACTATAATCAAGACTGGACATCCGCCGGGACCGGTTTGGCTCAATGGATAGAGCGTCGGCTTGGGGACTGAAGGGACCCAGGTTCGATTCCGGTCAAGGGCATGTACTTTGGCTGCGGGCATATCCCCCGTACGGGGTGTGCAAGAGGCAGCTGATCGATGACTCTCTCTCATCGATGTTTCTAGCTCTCTCTCTCCCTTCCTCTCTGTACAAAATCAATAAAATATATTAAAAAAAAAAAAAAAAAAAAAGACTGGACATCCAATATCTCATTTAACCCTCAAAAGTCTCAAGATATAAATTCTATTATTATCACAGTATATAGATGAGAAAACCAAGGCTTCTGGAGGTCCAATCTCTATACCTATGCCAAGAAATGTAGAGACAAATTCTGGCTAACACCTGAGTCCACACTTTTAACCAATATGCTTACTTTTTCCTGATAAATTTAAAACACACAAGCTCATTTTAGAAGTTCACACAATATGCCCAACCAGTGTGGTTCAGTGGTTTAGCTTTGACCTATGAACCAGGAGATCAGGGTACCATTCCCAGCCAACGCACATGCCCAGGTTGCCAGTTCAATCCCAAATAGGGGACATGTAGGAGGCAACCAATAGTAGTAGATACATAGATATCCTACATAATAAAAGGCTAATATGCAAATCGACTGAATGGCAGAACGACCGGTTGCTATGACACATATTAACCACAAGGGGGCAGGCGCTAATGCAGGAACTGCCCCCTGGTGGTCAGTGTGCTTCCACAAGGGGAGAGCTGCTCAGCCAGAAGCCAGGTTCATAGCTGGTGAGCATAGTGGCAGCAGCACTAAGGACCCCTTGGGGGATATCTGACTGCTGGCTTAGCCAGACTGAGAGGGCACAGGGCCAGCTGAAGACCGCCCCCGAGTGCACTGGGCCTCTAGTATAGATATAAAAACCTAGGAGACCAAACAACTGGTCACTGTGATGCACACTGACAACCAAGGGGCAGACACTCAATGCAGGAGCTGCCCCCTGGTGGTCAGTGCACTCCCACAGCCAATCTCCTGGGGACTCCCCCAACTGCAACCGGCCCAGATCACTGGCCAGGTTGAGTGACCCCCACCTGTGCACCAATTCATGCCTCTAATTTTAATATATTTCAGCAATTCTTATATACATATACACATACCTTATGTATTTGTTTGTTTTTAATCCTCACTTGATATTTTTTCCATTGATCTTTAGTTAGAAAGTGAAAGGGAGCGAGAAGGGAAAAAGGGAGGAGGGAGAGATGGGGTTGGAGAAAGAAAAAAAAGAGAGAGGAGAGAGAGAGAGAGAGAGAGAGAGAGAGAGAGAAATATCAACACAAGAGAAACATGATTGGTTGCCTCCCACACAAGCGCTGATTGGGGTTGGGAATCAAACTCACAACTCTTTAGTGCACAGGACAATGCTCTAACCACTGAGAAACACAGGCCAGGGCTATTACTTTATTAATAGCACATAGAGAGAATGAGGCAGATTTGTCAGTTCTTAAGAAGTGGCTGATAAACAGGTTAAATCCAAGTATCGTAGCCTAGTTGGATCCTTTCTTTCACTTCCTAGCTATGTAGTCTCAACTCTAGTCCTTCCCTTCCCTCTGCCCAGTACCCCTCATATCACATCCTAGAACAGAAATTATTAACCTGGGGTCAATGGCTCTATCAAAAAACCTTAATTATCCCTCCAACTCCTAAAGCATTAATGAGGTAAAGAATCCATAGAGGCATCAGTAGGTAGGACATCTAAATTAGGCTCAAATATCTTAGTATCACCTGTTCCTCCCTACAGAAAGGTTGTGGAAAGAGCAATAGAAGTAAGTGGAAACAATCTTTCTTTTTTAAAATATATTTTATTGATTTTTTACAGAGAGGAAGAGGGATCAGCTGCCTCTGGCACACCCCGCACTTGGGATGTGCCCGCAACCAAGGTACATGTCCTTGACCGGAATCGAACCTGGCACCTTTCAGTCTGCAGGCTGACGCTCTATCCACTGAGCCAAACCAGTGTTGGCTGGAAACAATCTTAAGTTGTTTCTTGCTGATTTCTGCTGTGATAAGAATATGAACAGCCAAGTTTAAAGTTCTTCTGTTTGATCCTTCTCTAGAACAATGGCTTGAGAAATCCCATACAATTCTTTTAGAAAACTAGCAGCAGTTTTTAGGGAAAGTCTGAAATGTAAAAATATAGATTTATAATTCAGGAGAGTAGAAGGTTGCCATTTTTTAAAATGGTATTTAAGTATTTTTTTATTATGTTCTGTAGATACGTAGGGTTCTATGGTTTACGGTTCTATGGTGGTTTATTCAGAAGCTCCTTAGGTATTTCAAGTTTATTTTAGAGAGGAGGGGAGAAGGATAGAGAGATAGAAACATCATTGGTTGGCTACCTCCTGCATGCCCCCTACTGGGGATCAAGCCTGCAACCTGGACATGTGCCCTGACCAGGAATAGAATTAGTGATCTCTTGGTTCATGGTCCAATGCTCAACCACTGAGCACACCAGTTGGGTCAAATTTACTTTTAAAAAGTCAATTCTGAGCCGAAACTGGTTTGGCTCAATGGATAGAGCGTCAGCTTGGGGACTGAAAGGTCCCAGGTTCGATTCCGGTCAAGGGCATGTACCTTGGTTGCGGGCATATCCCCAGTAGGGGGTGTGCAGGAGGCAGCTGATCGATGACTCTCTCTCATCGATGTTTCTAACTCTCTATCTCTCTCCCTTCCTCTCTGTACAAAATCAATATTTTTTTTAAAAAAAAAAGTCAATTCTGAAATATCTAGGGATCATACATATCCAGAAGGCTAAAGAAGTAGGACTCTAGGAAGATAGCCTCTATATCAAAGATGTAAGGAGCAGGAGCCCCCCCCGCCCCCCCAAAAAACAAACAAACAAACAAACAAAACCAGAATTGAGGGAAGTCCCACTCAGAGCATTTGGAAAGCTAGAAGCCCTTCCTCAAAAATTACTGCTGATTCCCACTTGCCCTCCAGCCTTAGGTGGGTCATGGTAGGAAGGAGAAGTTACAGAAGGAAGATCTATTTAAAATATTTTTTTTATCAATTTCATAGATTTCATAGAGGGAGATGGAGAGATAGAAACATCAATGATGAGAATCACAGATGGGCTGTCTCCTGCACACCTCCCACTGGGGATCGAGTCCACAACTCAGACATGTGCTCTTGGCTGGAGTCAAACCTAGGACCCTTCAGTCTGTGCATTCTGCTTTGATCTAGCTTATCTATTAACTTCTATGTAAGATTTCAATTGGTGGGGGCAGGAAGGGAGAGGGTTCTGCTTAAAAAAAAAAAAAGTTTATAAAACATTGAAATAAATATAGTCCAGTCAAATAGGACCACATCTGTAGGACTTAAAAGAGAAAGTAAATTGACAAGGATTGAGATACACCATTTGGAGTTACTTTGCAATAGTCCTAGAAATAGAAAATCTCCCTTAGGTACTTCATTTTACGTGACTATTTTAAACAACAATAATACGTAGGAAATCAATAGGGAGCCGGTTACTGGGCACTCTGTTCCCAAAGCAAAGAAAGAATAATGTGTGAATAGGTGGTATAGCAGGGGAATGGTGGCCCAGAGTGAGGTCAAAACCTATCTTGGGTGAGGAAGAAAACTGCAGAGAATGACTCATCTTTAACCTATGTATATGAATTGAGAAGAGATAAGTTGATAAGTTAAAATTCTAAGATATGAGCAGAGACAGAATAATGACTACAGAGCCTGCTCTGTAGAATTCACATCCCCGGCCCATGTAGTTCAATTGGTTGGGTGCCATCCCATGCACAGAAAGGTTACCTATGTCCTAGGGTGGTCAAAAAAGGGAATAAAATTGGTTTAGACAAGTAAATATTTTAGGTTAATACATGGCAATAGGAAGTACTCAAGTATTAGCAATTATTTTAAAATATATATATTTTATTGATTTTTTTGCAGAGAGGAAGAGAGAGAGGGATAGAGAGCTAGAAACATCAATGAGAGAGATACATCGATGAGCTGCCTCCTGCACACCCCCTACGGGGGATGTGCCTGCAACCAATGTACATGCCCTTGAACCTGAGACCTTTTAGTCCGCAGGCCTACGCTCTATCCAGTGAGCCAAACCGCTCTATCCACTGAGCCAAACCGGTTTCGGCAGTATTAGCAATTATTATAATATTAGAGGAGTTGGAAGGGACCTTCAGGATTACTGACTGTCGATAGTAGAGTAAGTACTGGCCTTGAGGTCTAGTACCAGCTATCAAATCACTTAATCTCTGCTAGTTTGTTTTAAGTTAAATAGGAGTAATGGGCTAAATGCTCTCCGTGATTTCTTTCAGCTTTCATATTTTGAGTTCACTTTTTGTGTTTTTCTTTGCTTTTTACTATTTTTCTCTTTCCTGCTTTTGACCTGTTTTCTCAACAGATTCATTACTAGAATTCAAAAAAGAAGTAGCATCTTTCTAAGACAGTAATTCTAGATATTGGATGGGAAGGCGGGAGGTTGGACCATTGTTTGGCATTTGAAAGTCTCCCATCTTCTGATCTGTCCAGCACATAAAGGCTCTGTTCGCTCATTCAAAAAAACTTCATTTTACACATGAAGACACTAAAACACACAGAGGCTAAGTAACTTGCTCAAAATCACAAACCTATAAATGATGCTGATGAGATTCAAATCCTATTTACAAACATTTTTTCTTTTTTAATTATGAATTTGAGTATTCTTGCACATTAGCATACCCTTCAAATTTCTAGTGCCTAGCAGTATTAACTCGACTACTAAAGGTTCTGATGTAGGTGATCTTACTCACATCTATGACTCATTTACCACCAAATACAAATTACTCTCAGATTTATATTTCCAAAAAAATATCTTTTCTGAGTTCCAAACCCTTGTTTCAAACTGCCTCCTGGATGTCAAGAATGATTTCTTCCTTCCCTTGTCCAAAAAACAAAAACAAAACACCTACCCAGTTGCCATAAGCCAGAAAACTAGGAGTTACTTCGAAGTCCTCTTTTTTCACTCCCTGAATCCAATCCATTAGCGAGTCCTACTGATTTTACCTCTCCTGTCTACACCTTTAGAACCTGTCCAACTCTGCATTTCCACCAACTCCTCAGTCCTCACTCCCAACAGTATATCTGTCCTCCAACTATTCCTATCCAGCCTCTGACTGATCGAGCCCAATCCTCCACCACACTACCCACTCCCCATAAAAAATAAACCACCAGCAGAGACTGGTTTGGCTCAATGGATAGAGCGTCGGCTTGAGGACTGAAGGGTCCCGGGTTCGATTCCGGTCAAGGGCATGTACCTTGGTTGCGGGCATATCCCCAGTAGGGGGTGTGCAAGAGGCAGCTGATCGATGACTCTCATCTCATCGATGTTTCTAACTCTCTATCTCTCTCCCTTCCTCTCTGTACAAAATCAATAAAATATATTTTTTTAAAAATAATAATAAAAAAAAATAAACCACCACTGTCCTGACTGGTGTGGTACAGTGGATAGAGCGTCGTGCTGCGGACTGAAGGGTCCCAGGTTCCATTCCCGTCAAGGGCACGTGCCTTGGTTGCGGGCACATCCCCAGTGGGGGGGGGGAGTGCAGGAATCCCCAGTGGGGGGTGTGCAGGAAGCAGCTGATCTATGTATGCTTCTCTCTCGTCGATATTTCTAACTCTGTCTCTCTACCTTCCTCTCTGTAAAAAATGAATAAAATATATATTTTTAATTAAAAAATAATAAATAAAAAAATAAACCACCACCAACAAAAACCTCAGCAGTCTTTCGGTAAAAGCTACAAAGTCCTGCAAGATCTGACCTCTCCCCGCCTCCAGCTTCATCTTGTACCACACTCCCCCTCCCTCCCCTTCACTCCCTTCCTCCTGGCCACACGGGCCTCTGGGCTTTTTAGCCATCCTCCTCCCAGGGTCTCACGCGTGGTTCTCTACAAGGAACAGTCTGCCTTCCTCTCTGCACCCACATCATTGGAATTCTCCCTCAGGCGGCTTTTCCTGCTGGTGTCAGGTGCCTCTCCCCGGTCGCACGCTCTCCATCCACATTTCTTAGAGAGACCCCTTCCCGTTTGTTTTCCCCGCCAGCCGCGCAGCCCTGAGAGGTCAGGGGTCACGTCTGGTTCACCATGTAACCTCGATGCTTTGCACCATCAGCATCAGTTGAACCAGCAGGCGTCGGGCATTTCCTTCCCCTCCGTCCCTCACATGAGCACAGAGAAGGAGGCCCTGGGAAAAGGCTGGCAGACACGAGCCGCCTCCTCAGCCGGGACCCTAAGCGGAGGCTGGGAGGAGGCCTTCTTCCCTGGGGGCGCCTGGCACTGGGACGGACACGACAGGCGCTCGCTGAAGGCGGCCGTCGAGGGCCTCAGGCGGCCGTCGAGGAGCCCCCGAAGCTCCGCTCCCGCCTAGAAAAGGAACCCAGGCTCCCGCACACCCGCGCTGGGACGTGCGGGCCCGCCTCTGCCGCTAGCAACCAAAACTTCGGCGGAGAAGGGCCAGGCTCACCCCGCACAACCGAAGCACCACCGCCAGACTCCGCGGCCGCCCGCCCCCGGCCTCCCTCACACTCACTCGGCGTCCGCTCCGCTCTCCGCGCCGCTGCATTGCGCGAATCACCGAAACCCGGCCGGCGCGCTCCCACCCACAAGACACAGCGTGCGGAGGCGGGGCCTCAGCCCCATCCACCAATCCTAGAATCATGATTCCGTGACGTCAGAGAGATATGACCAATAAGAGGAGCCCATCCGTGGGCGCTGAGAGTACTGGAAGCCGATTGGCCTCTCCGAGCCGGATGTGCTAGGGAAGGACTAAGTCGGAACCAGTCGCGCGGGGGCTCCGGGTGTCGGAGGAGAGCGGCTACCGCCATGATTGAACAACAGAAGCGCAAGGGTCCAGAGTTGCCGCTGGTTCCAGTCAAGAGACCGCGGCATGAGTTGCTGTTGGGAGCGGCGGGGTCGGGCCCCGGAGCGGGACAGCAGCAGGCGGCGCCGGGGGCCTTGCTGCAAGCGGTGAGTGAAGGAGCCGGCGGCCTGCGGCCTTCAGCTCATCTTCCTCCTCTGAGAGCTGCACCGGGTGGTCCAGCAGCGGCCCTTTCCGCCTACTGTGGGGCCTCTTACCGCCTGCTGTGGGGCGGCACGAAAACCTCTACCTGGAGTTAAGGCAGAAAAACACTGTAAAAGTGGCCGACACCCTCCGGAGACTCCATACGTCTCCCTGTTTGACACCCGTTTTCAGCGTCTCGATCTCCCTGGGAGGATGGGTTAGAATGAAAGTTACGGATCCTTATTTTGACCTCAAAATCAAGATCGAGGTTTTCGTATCCTAAACCTTGCAGGGATTCAGCGTAGAGTAAACATTCAGAAAAGTTGCAAGAGTGGGAGGATGGAGAAGGATTGAATGAGTGAGTGAATGAATGAATGAATGAATGAGGGAAGGAATGAAATTAATGATCTTGCTCACTTTGGGCAAGTTGTTTTTCCCTGTATTTCTCTACACTATTAACAACAACCCGAGAATAGTTAATATTCATTGAGCCCTTGTATTTAAGTTATTTTATTTTAAATGAAGACTCCATTAATCTTGGTAACAGCCTAAGAGTTAGGAACTGTTATTCCACTTTGTAGATGGGAAGACAAACTCTTATCTAGTAGTGATGGAAACATCTTAAACCCAGACCCAATTCTTTTTTCTTTTTTTTTTTTTTTAATGTAAGATAGAGGTAGTGATCATACCTCTCCTTCTATTAGCCTCAGATAAAGAAGCATGTGTCCTCAAATCCGGCTGGCACCACTTCAAAATAGATCTACAAACGGTTACCACTTGTGCCACCTCCATCACTAGTTCCTGATCTAAGCTATTATTGCAGTAAGGTCCTAACTGGTATTCCTGTTTCTGCTCCTTTGTCATCATTCTGTTCTCAAACCAGCCGCCAGAGAAAGCCTTCTGAATGTCAGATTCCATTACCCTTTGCTGAAAACTTTGGTGGCTTTCCACTTCACTCACTGTAAAACCAAAATCCTTACAACCTTTGGCCCTTTTTGCCGCTTTACCTCTCTGATCTACCAATTTTCCATGGCTCACACTTGCTCCAGTCACACTGGTTTCCGTGCTCCTGCCTAAAAGTGTTTGCATTTGCTGTTTCCTCTACTGGAGTACTCTTCCAAATGTGCATATCTGGTTTATATACTCAGATCCTCCAAATCTTTCCTTAAATACCACTTTTTTAGGGAGGGCTTTTCTGGTTCCCTTTAAATTGCAATGCCCAGTGCTTACTAACCCACATTCAAAGCACCTAAAACCATCTATATATTTTACTTGCGTTCTCTCTGTCCCTTTTTCTCTTCCTGCTTCTCACTTGAAAGCAAACTCCATTTATTTTCCCAGTGCCTACAACAGTGCCTGGCACATAGTATTTCTTAAAATAAATGAATAAGCTGGAAACTACTGAAGAAATTTGGGGATTGTTAATCATGTACTTGTTCATCTACCTCGCAAATATGAATATCAGCCCAGGTCCCAGCATATTGCACATGCCTAGACTTAATTTCGAGATCATAATCAAGCCGAAACCATTTTGGCTCAGTCGATAGAGCGTCGGTCTGCAGACTGAAGGGTCCCAGGTTCAGTTCTGGTCAAGGGCATGTACCTTGGTTGCAGGCACATCCACGGTGGGAGTTGTGCAGGAGGCAGCTGGTCGATGTTTCTCTCTCATCGATGTTTCTGGCTCTCTATCCCTCTCCCTTGCTCTCTGTAAAAAAAATCAATTAAAAGTACTAATTTAAAAAAAATCATAATCAAAAGGCCATTCCCAATAATCTGTACCCTGAACAATGTTGCTCAGTTCAATCATTCACTCATCCATTAAATGAGCTAGAGATTGGGAAAAGAGTGTTGGATGACACGGGCAGGATCCCTGCATTCACAGAGCTTTTCTAGTGAGGAAAAAGGCAAATGTGTAAACCAATACACAAGGAGGGAATTTCAGGTAATGATAAGTGCAGTGAGGGGATACAGTAGAGTTAGTGAAACACAGAAGAGAGGTTGGGTGCTGCTTGAGTTCGATTCTAAACAGGAAACATTTGAAAAGAGCCAAACAGGAAAATCTAGCAGTGTTTCCCAAACTTTTCACATATGTGTACCCCTTCTATAATTTTCGTAACACTTAGTATCCTTCGTACTCATGAGGACGTAGAATTAGGTGCAGCTAAGCACGGTGCAGTGCATATCCGCACCAAACTGGTGCAACATGTACCCCTGGGGGTACACGTACCACACTTGGGGAAACACTGATCTAGGGGAAGCGGATTCCTATCGGGGCAACAAGTGGAAAGATCCCGAGGTAGAAATGAGTTTAACATGTATGAGCAATTAGTTGGCTATGAGACAGGAGCAGGATGGGGGATAGGAAAGTTGGTAAAGCAGGCAGACACTGGCAACTTCAGCAGGAAAGTATCCAATTGGAGGCATAAGTTGTGAGAAGAGTTGCAGTTCTCTGGATCAGGAGAAATCCACCAGTCATTGTTTCCCTTCTCTTTTCCCTACATCCACTCCCTAATTTGCAGCTTCCTTTGCCAGTATGCAATGGCTAGCCTGTATTTCTCTTCTTTGTTTAGGGGCCTCCAAGGTGTTCCTCCCTTCAAGCCCCAATCATGCTTCTCTCAGGACATGAAGGCGAAGTGTACTGCTGCAAGTTTCACCCCAATGGATCCACCTTGGCATCTGCAGGATTCGACCGGCTGATATGTAAGGCATAGTGTTTGAATCTGGAATAATTGCTGTCTGCCAAGTAGTGATTATTTTTTAAAACCTTTGGTGCCACAGAAGGTATCAGTCTGATTTTGTCTCATAACAAATTACATCGTCGTGAAAATGCTGAATGATCTTATTGTAGAACTCAGAGTCCAAGTGGTAAATACGGAAGGAATTATGTTACTGGTTGGAAAGTTAGTTAGTTGCCCTAGTTTGAGAATATCTTCCTCATGGGGGCAAATCTTAAGCTGATTTAGTAAGATAAGAATTCTAGGGTTAGTGATTAATCCTATCTACACTAATAAAAGAAAAACATGCAAATTGACCTGTACACCCTCCCACAAAATGGCCACCCCCATGTGGTCTAAGTTGACTGGCAGGGGAAGGTAGTTGTGGGTGATCAGGCCAGAAGGGGAGGGCAGTTAGGGACAACCAGGCTGGCAGGGAGGACAGTTAGGGGCAACCAGGTCAGCAGGGAGGCAGTTAGGGGCAACCAGGCCGGCAGGGCAGTTGGGGGAAACCAGGCCTACAGGGGAGAGCACTTGGGGGGAACCAGGCCTACAGGGGAGAGCACTTGAGGAGGACCAGGCCTGCAGAGGAGAGCACTTGGGGAGGACTGAGCCGGCAGGGAGCAATTAGGTATCAATCAGGCTGGCAAGGGAGTGTTTAGGGGGTGATCTGGCTGGCAGTCAGGCAAGCAATTGGGAGCCAGCAGTCCTGGATTGTGAGAGGGATATGCCCAACTGCTGGTTTAGACCTGATCCCAACCGGCAATCGGACATCCCCCAACTGGTCTCAGATTGGAGAAGGTGCAGGCTGGGCTGAGGGACACACATACACACACACACACTGCATGGATTTCATGCACTGGGCCTCTAATGGGAGTAATAAAGAGAAAAGGACCATTTCTTTCCCCCAAAGGCAAGAGACCCTTCTCTTGGTTCACTCTCAGAATCTTAGCAAATGAGAAGGAAGAGGGACTCTTAAAGTGGCAACTCACTTGGATAATCTATCTGTACATTATCAGGATCTGCTACCAGATTCTCAACTCCTAGTGAGGAAAATCCGTTTTTTGAGAAATAGGTAGAAAAAATCACTTTGGGGGAGTCAAGAGAAAAAGTGAAAAAGAAGGTAACAGAAGCCTCATGTATAGAGGTGTTCCTTAATAATTCTCATTAAATTTTACTCCTCACTAGGGCAAGCTCATTGAGGATAGCAACTGTGTCTATTCATTTACCTGTTTTATCCCAGTACCTGACATGTTTTAGGTCCTTACTACATGTGGATTAAGTAAATGTCAGATAAAATCATTGCCATGTGACCTTCAAGTCATTTGTGCTTCCTCAGTTTTCCATAAGTGCTGCCATTTTACAGTTATATTATATTAATAGGAGATGAGCAATAGTGAGTGTCAGCTTTTTTAATATTATAGGAAATTTAAGATCTAAAAAATTGTACCCGCTAACTTTTTTACCTTATAAGATGTGAGAATATTGCACTATTTTTGTTACAGTGTCAGGAAAGTTGGACCAACTGGTAGAACCAATAGTATTCTAAGCACTATTGTTCTGATAAATTCATAGGTCCCACATCCATGGTCAGTAATAAATTTCCTTTTGTCTAGCAATGCTCACAGAACTCCTATCTCCCTAACAGTGTTGTGGAATGTCTATGGTGACTGTGATAACTATGCAACATTGAAGGGACACAGTGGAGCAGTGATGGAACTGCATTATAACACAGATGGCAGGTGAGTATTCTGCATAGTGGAATGGCAGCTGTTACTTAAACTAATTCTCCTTGGCATCCTTTCACTTTGATCCTTGAGTTTACTCTCTCAGTAGACTATGCTATCAAAAACTGCTATATTTGGGCAATTGCTTTAGTCTATCACTGTCACTCCAAATAAGGTGTTTATTGTTCCTTGTAGGCATTTAAAAGTATATCATCTCTATCATCTAATATATCAACATCTCAGATAAATTTGTTTTCTTTCTTAAGACATAAAACAAAATAATTTTATGTATAAATTAGCTATTTTTATTATGAAAGTAATAAAATATTATTTTAAGAAACTAAGAACAAAAAAACAGAACAAGGAAAAATTAGCCCATATTCCTGCCAGTCCAAAGAGAATAACTTAATATTATGATACTTTATGATATTTTTCTCAAGCCTTTTTCCTACTCAAAACTGTTTTGTTTTTACTTATATGTTAGAGCTACATTTACGATCTTCTCTGCTGCTTTTTTTCCTTAACATAATTCACCTAACATACTATTTATCATAAACACTTTAATGACTGCATAATTTTAGAATCATTGTAAGTAATATAGAAATGCGTTTATAAGAAATATTAATCCCAGTGGATATTTCAGTAAATATTCCTTGTTTTAAACCTCTGGTATGTAAAACCTAGTGTTCCCTGAATCAACTGGGACATAGCCTTGTATACATTTTCTTATTAATATTTGAGTAAAGAAAGTCTTATAAAATAATTATAACTTAAAAATTGTCCTCAGAGCCGAAACTAGTTTGGCTCAGTGGATAGAGTGTTGGCCTGTGGACTGAAGGGTCCCAGGTTCGATTCCAGTTAAGGGCATGTACCTTGGTTGCGGGCACATCCCCAGTAGGAAGTGTGCAGGAGGCAGCTGATCGATGTTTCTCTTTCATCGATGTTTCTAACTTTATCCCTCTCTCCTCTCTGTAAAAAATCAATAAAAAATATATATATTTTTTAATTGTCCTCAGAGACAAAATAAAAACTTTGATTTTTAGGGAAAAGTTTGTAGTTGCATAGCCATTGGATTAAGAATTGCTAGTCTCTCTTCTGCAGCAAGGAGTGATGAAATATTTCCAAGTGGGAGAATATCTTATGTATAAAGTCTTAACTATCACAAAGAAGGAAAAGATTGAGAAAACTGCTGCATTAAATGTTTATCATGGGGAATGATAGAAGGAAATTTTTTTTTTTACTAGGGTAAACTATGTAACATATCTACAGCACCAATAGGATTTTGGTAGATAGGGCGAGGCAGGCATTCCAGCATCACGTGCTGGACTGTCAGAGGACATGTCAATGATCTTAAAGGGTTGGGCACATTTTGGTAAGTGGGGAAGAGAGCTCGCTGGTATTTGTATTCACTTATTTTTGTTTGTTTGTTTGTTTGTTTGTTTGTTCTTCCTCTTACCTTCTAGTATGCTCTTCTCAGCATCCACAGATAAAACTGTGGCAGTGTGGGATAGTGAAACAGGTGAGAGAGTTAAAAGGCTGAAGGGACATACTTCCTTTGTGAATTCCTGTTATCCGGCCAGGAGGGGCCCCCAGCTTGTCTGCACTGGCAGTGATGACGGTACAGTTAAGGTGGGTAATGTCTCTCTGAGTGTTGCAGTTTCTGAGGTGACATAATGTGAACCTTATCTTGCCTACCCCTCTGTGTTGTACCCTCCTCACCACAACTTTGTTTTAGCAGTCATGTCCCAAAAAGACGCTTTACGTATCTAACGGAACCAAATCAAACCATTGTGACTTGGATTAAAATGGACCACTTGAATTAGATTCTTGGCTCAGCTGTTTACTTAATTGTGTGGTCTTAGGCAGCTTTTCTTATCCTGGGTTTCTCAATCTTTACAATGGTGATGGTAGTATTCATGTCTTACAAGGCTATTGTGAAATTAGTCAGTATATAGAAAGGTCAGTACATACTAGTTTAGTAACACAGGATGGGATCTTAAAGGTCATTTAGTCGAATGATTTTCAACCTGTGTGCATGTCAGAATCACTCAAAGAATCTGTTAAAAACAAAAAACAACCAGATTCTGGTTCAGTAGGTCTGAAGTGAGATTTTTTTTTTTTTTTAATTAAGACTATTTTTAAAGCAGTTGTAGCTTCACAGCAAAATCGAGGGCAAGATATAGAGATTTCCTATATATCCACTGTCCCACATATGCACAGCCTTCCCCACCAGAGTGGCACATCTGTTATGATTGATGAACCTACACTGACACATCATAATTACCCAAAGTCCATGGTTTACATGAGGGTTCACTTTTAGTGTTGTACATTCATTGGGTTTGGACAAATGTATAATGACATGAATTCATCACTGTAGTATTATACAGAGTATTTTCACTGCCCTAAAAATCCTCTTTGTTCTGCCTATTCATCCCTTCCAAGCCCTGGCAATCATTGATCATTTTACTATTTCCATAATTTCGCCTTTCCCAGAATGTCATATAGTTTGAATTATACAATAGATAGCTTTTTTTCAGATTAGCACTGTCCCATGCACCCAAAGGTCGCAGGTTCAATTCCCAGCCAGGTCACATACCCAGGTTGTGGGTTCATTCCCCAGTGTGGGAGGCAACCAATCAACGTGCTCACTCTCATATTGATATCTCTCTACCTCTCCGTTCCTCTCTCTCTAAAATCGATAAAAGTGTGTCATCGGGTAAGGGCTTTAATGAAAAGAGTATGTGTAGTGGTCCAGAATAGCATATCAGAGCCCAAGTGATGTGAGGAGGGCATCCACACGGGACAGGGTAGGCAGCCTGGGGAATTGGAGAATGAGGAAGGAGGCACTGCCCAGCAAGGAGAGTGAGGTAAAAGGATCATCTACACGTTGGTGGCAATATAGTGTCAGAACCTTAGCTGAGGGTGCCCACACAGGGGATGTGTCTGAGGCTGAGCAGGATGAAGATGGCATCCCTAGGGAAGGGCAGCCTAGAGAGGGGTATAAAACCCAAGCAGAATGAAGAGGGTGTTCGTTCACACAGAGGGATGACCCAAATGGGATGAGAAAGGGGTCCACATAAAGTTAGCCAAGAATGGGAATCACCATTCAGGAAAAAGGGCATCTATTCAGGGGAAGGGTGGAAGAGGATATGGGAGGTTGGTTATACAGGAAGCTTGATCAAATAAGTATAATAGAAAACAGACTACTCACTGTCAGAGAGAGGAGTTCCAGTACTGAAGTAGAGAAAACTAAAATGCATTGTGTGTGATTGGTATCAAATTGGAAGTATCAGTGTGAATTCATGACATTCAGTATACAAACAGATATAGAAAAAATGAATGTAGATGTGTGTGTGTATACCTACGTATACATATATTTCCTAACTGACCACTAAGAGGGGTTAGGAATAATAACACCCCAGCAGCAATGAGCACATCTACTGCTCAGGTATTGGCCTTGAAAGTACCATTTTTCCACTAAAAGGAACCAAGGCTCCTTTTAGGACTGGGCAGGGAACGCACTAGATGAGCCTTGAACATCTTATGCAAGAAAGTGTGTCAAAGAACATCTTAATCAAATTATCAAATTGAACTTTATTAGTAACTAGAGGCCCGGTGCATGAAATTATCCATCTTTTTAAAAAATGTTTATGGCTGAAACCGGTTTGGCTCAATGGATAGAGCGTCCGCTTGGGGACTGAAGGGACCCAGGTTCGATTCCGGTCAAGGGCATGTACCTTGGTTGCGGGCATATCCCCAGTAGGGGGTGTGCAAGAGGCAGCTGATCGATGACTCTCTCTCATTGATGTTTCGAACTCTCTCTCTCCCTTCCACTCTGTACAAAAATCAATAAAATATATTTTTAAAAAAAATATATCACTGATGAGAGAGAATCATTGATTGGCTGCCTCCTGCATGACCTCTGAGAATTGAGCCCACAACCCGGGCATGTGTCCTGACTGGGAGTTGAATCATGACCTCCTGGTTCTAAGCTTGACATTCAACCACTGAGCCACACTAGCTGGACCTGAAGAGAAATATTTATTCAAGTCCTTGCCCATTTATTAATTGGGCTTGTTGTATTTTTGTCGTTGAGTTATAATAGTTCTTTGTCTGGATACTAGACCTTTCTCAGATACGTGATTTGCAAGTATTTTCTCCCGTTGGCAGTTATTTCATTTTCATGACACTCTTTCTTTGATGTACAACAGTTTTATGTTTTTATGAAGTCTAATTTATTCTTTTGTCACTTGTGCTTTTGGTGTCCTATCTAATAATTCATTGCCATATCCATAGTCATAAAGATTTACCCTTTTGTTCTCTTCTAAGAATTTTATAGTTTTAGCTTTTACAATTAGGTCTTTGATTCATGTCAAGTTAAATTTTACATGTGGTGTGAGGTAAGGGTCTAGCTTCAGCTGGTTATCCAATTGTCCCAGCACCACTTGTGAAAAAACTATTAATTTCTTTCATCTGTGTGGGCTACACTTTTTACTGCTTCTTTGCCTCATAATTTCTTTGTTGAAAACTAGACAGTTGAATATATAATACTAGAGGCCCACCGCACGAGACCAGGCAATGTCAAGGGACCCAGCGTCAAGTCCCTACACACCCGCGTGTGCCTTGCACACACGCAGCCCTGTCCACCTTGAAGACAGTTGCAGATGGAGATAAGAATAGTTTCCTGCCGAAACCGGTTTGGCTCAGTGGTAGAGCATCGATCTGCGGACTGAAAGGTCCCGGGTTCGATTCCGGTCAAGGGCATGTACGTTGGCTGCGGGCACATCCCCAGTAGGGGATGTGCAGGAGGTGGCTGGTAGATGTTTCTCTCTCATCGATGTTTCTGGCTCTCTGTCTCTCTCCCTTCCTCTCTGTAAAAAATCAATAAAATATATTAAAAAAAAAAAAAAAAAAAAAAAAGAATAGTTTCCTGCCCTAACCTCTCCTTCTCAGGAGCCCTTAAATGGACTTTCGTTGGAAGATGAGAATTGAGCAGAGCAATACTTACTTGTTTCCATGATGACATCATATGACGTTCAGCAGGTGCCTTTTGGTATTTGGTCGAGACACCGTGATGGCTATTGGTGTCATGACCACGGGTTTTTATAATAGAGATGGCAGTTCTGGAAATAGATTTTCCTCAGAGTTTGTTGTTATTGCTGCTTGGTGTAGCTATTTATTTGGTGAATTTTCTGGTGTAATTTTATAAAGTTGAATGTAGCCACCGAAGTCTCTATTTCATTAGCTTAGTGGTTTGCTAATGGTTGGGCAAAGATTTTCTTAAATGAGGGGTTTGGGGAACTCTCCTGGTCTTTGCAGATTGACTATGTGTATGTGTTGGGGCCTGCCTTCACCTCTCAGCCAGGCAGTTCCAACTCGGCATTAGCCTTCATTTCCTGCTTGTACAGAGCCTGAAGGTGAGAGTGTGGGGGCTTCTCGGTTATTTTCTGAACATGTGCGCAGCCGCGGGCATGCAAATGACCTTTAGAGTCCCGGGAATGTGTTAGTGCTTTTCAAAGCCTCTCCTGTGCTCCAGGTTATCTCATTCTCCCACCCTCAGTCCCCAGTGTTTGGCTGTCTTTTGTTTGCCCAAACTGTTAGTCCTTGCTTCAGCAAGCAGAGCCTAGCGTGTAAGTGTTTTGGATAAATACCTCTGCCTTGGGAGAGTTCCAAGTTAGGCAAATAAAGGAAAACTCTTTGAGCTCATCCTTCAGGGTGCCACCAGATAGGTAAAAACAACCATGTTTTTTAAGAATAAGGTCCATTTTGTTCTTCCTATCCTGGGAATCTATACTGGGAATATGGACTGTTGTCTTCAAAGGTATTGTTGAGTTACGGGGTGGAACAAGGGTAAGTTAAAACACCACAAAACTCTTCCTAAGACCCAGGGTTTATGTTTGCTTCATTAAATGTTTGCCTGGTTGCTATTAATTTTTTATTAGTTTCTAGAATTCTGATAAAGTTTATTCTGCTAGGTTTTTTTTGCTAGATAATTCTCTGCTTTTGTGGAGGGACAGTCTTAAAATTCCCTACTCTGCAATTTTTGCTGTCTATGTACATGTTTTTTTAAGTATATTTTATTGATTTTTTTACAGAGAGGAAGGGAGAGAGATAGAAAGTTAAAAACATCGATGAGAGAGAAACATCAATCAGCTGCCTTCTGCATACCCCCTACTGGGGATGTACCCGCAACCAAGGTACATGCCCTTGACTGGAACGGAACCTGGGACCCTCAGTCCGTAGGCTGACGCTCTATCCACTGAGCCAAACCATCTAGGGCAATGTACATATTTCTTTATGTGAGTTGTAGCCTACTAATAAGGTAGGACATACCATTTGAACACACTGGTCTAATTATATCCTTGCTGTATTAAGGACATATGAACTAAGCAGGTAGAGGTTTTCCACTCTAAGGACATATTGATTAACTATGTTTATTTAAATTTTAACAAAGGACTCTGAAAATATAATCAAAGTGATTTGTTTCACCAACCTTCAGATACGCTGGCAAAATTGTGGTCACTTCTCACCGTGTTCCTAGGATACCCAAAGGAGTTTCTGAACCGGCCCTTATTAGAGGTGGATTCACCTCTACAAAGTCCTTGGGCTAAAGGGTGTATGATGCAATTACTTCTTGAAGTGCCGTTACTGTAGACTCCTCTGTTTTCTGCTTCAGCTTTGGGATATCCGGAAGAAAGCAGCCATCCAGACATTTCAGAATACCTACCAGGTGTTGGCTGTGACCTTCAATGACACAAGCGATCAGATTATTTCTGGTGGGATAGACAATGATATCAAGGTATGTTTGGTGTTTGTGTTATATTTCCCTTTCACTGTCTTTACAGAGGAGAATCTTTTCAAACTTCTGAGATTGTAGAGCTTACGCTTATTAACAATGAGAAGGAACATAGAAATTTAGATCTGCTTTTCTTCTATCCTATCTTTATTGATTTCCTAAGTCAAGGGTTGCTCGTATAAATGCATCTAACACTTATGTAGTGCTTACTTTGTGTCAGGCATTGTTCTTAGAGCTTTATGTTATTAATTCATTTAATTGTCTCTGTTTTCACACATTATTTTTGCCTAGGAATACTTTTGTTGAAGTAAAAAAGTACCTCATCTTTCATACCTTGCCCAAGTGCTTCATTGAGATCAGAGATTGTGACTTTTTTTTTTTTTTTTTTTTTAATCAAGTACTTTCCACTAATGAGATGCAAAACATTTTGCTTAAGCCTGGTCAGTGTGGCTCAGTGATTGAATGTCAACCCATGAACCAGGAGGTCACAGTTTAGTGCCTGATAAGGGCATATGCCCAGGTTGTGGTGGGGATTGTGCAGAAGGCAGCTGATCAGTGAGTCTCTCTCATCATTGATGTTTCTATCTCTCTCTCCCTCTCCTTTCTCTCTCTAAAATAAAAAAAAATATACACACACACACACACACACACACACACACACATATATATATATATATATACATATATATATATATATATGATTTTCCCCCCTGAAATTAGTGCCCTATTCGTTCTTTCTTTGTCAAATCCCAATACATTTTGGCCTATACAAATACCATGTGCAGGCCCTAAAGGGGAAAGTCTGGAAATAGCACTGTGCTGTAAGGGATGGTGAATTGCATTCTCTCTTGGTTGTTAATAAACTAAAGATTTCAGAAGTACCTTCTCTGAATAAAAAAGTGTCAGCCATTTTAAGTTTTCTTCATTATTGAGCCAACACACATCTTGACAAAAAAAAAATGATTGTATATAAACTGTGTTGGATTCCACACATGAATGAACTATTGATGGGGAAGTGGAATTGTCTGCCTTGATTATTACTTTGACAACACCAAACTCATTTCTAGATGAGGCACATTCCTTAGTTGCCAAAAGGGACAGCAGATTTTTTTCTTTAACTTAGAAAAACTACATGGCAACATTAAATCAAATTTGGAGGAAATTTTGTACAATACCAACAACATTAACAAAACTGCTATTCCTTTTGTATATGACATTCCAGACCATTTCTATTTTCTTTTATATGTTTTCACATCATTATAGTCTATGTAAATATAAATATTGGTTTGTATTCTTTATATTTGCTTAATTGCTCACATTTTTACATTTGGTCTTCAGAGTGATTTTTAGAAGTAGCTTGATGATACCTATTAGTTATTGAGGGCCTTCTGTATGCTAGACATATATATATGTTAAGCATTTTTTTGTTTTATATTGTTTTGTTTTTCTTAATCCTCACCTGGATATTTTTCATTGGTTTTTAGAGACAGTGGAAGGGAAGGGAGAGACAGACAGAAACATCGATGTGAGAGAGAGACATCCATTCATTGCCTTCTGCACGCACCAAGGCCAGGGCTAGGGATCGAACCTGATTCCGAGGTAGATGCCCTTGACCAGAATGTGTTGATGAGCCATACTTAATAAACCATATTTTTTTTTTCTACTTGACATTAAGTTTCTTCCAGCTGAAATGTTTCTCTTAGATTTCCTACACAGACATTCTTTTAATAAATATGCTTTTTTATAATTATACGTGTGTACATATATGTAATATATGACATTAAGTGAAAAATTTTGTCTGTATCTTTGCATATACCTTATTTTATACATTTTATATGCAATCACGTCTTTTTTATATAACATGTTTACTTGTTTTTATATAGTTATAGTTTATTTTTAATTGCTAAGAATTATAGTTTAAGCATTTTTAAAAATATGTTTTATTGATAGAGAAGAAAGGAGAGGGAGAGATAGAAACATTGATGAAGAGAGAATCATTGATCAGCTGCCTCCTGCATGCTCAACACTGGGGATTGAGCCCATAGGTTGTTAGTTAACCTAATATTTGACATTTATTTGTTTGTATCTATCTAGTCAAATATATAGTAACTTGGCTCCCTTTTTAGAAAGATGAGTTTTTTCTCTCTGATAGAAATCCTGTATTTTGTGATAAAGTAATTCTTGCTCTAGAGCCAGTTTAAGAAGGGATACCAATTTCTCTGGGCAGTTGACTCTAGTAATTCTACATATTTCTTTGCTATCCACAACTTGATTTCTAAGAGCACCTTCTTGTTTTGTAGGTCTGGGACCTGCGTCAAAACAAGTTGACCTACACCATGAGAGGCCATGCAGATTCAGTGACTGGCCTGAGTTTAAGTTCTGAAGGCTCTTACCTTCTGTCCAATGCAATGGACAATACAGGTAACTTTGGAAAGGAAAGCACTCCAAATGCCTAAAGAAAGTGGACATTGGGTGTTAGAAATGTGTGCTGGGCCCAGAGGGCCTGCCTGGTTCAGTGGTTGAGCGTTGACTATGAACCAGATTCAGTTCCCAGTCAGAGCACAGGCCGGGATTGTGGCTCCATCCCCAGTTTGGAGCATGTAAGAAGCAGTTAATCCATGATTCTCTCTCATCATTAATGTTTGTGTTGTTTTTTTTACAGTGTGGTTATTTTATACAGAAAAAAACAAAGTTTTACTTAAGGTCAAGACAAAGGAGATTATGCACATTCATTAATGTTTTTATCTCTCCCTCTTCCTCTCTGAAATCAATAAAAACTTTTTTTTTAAATGTGTGCTAGGATAAATAAGGGTCCAAGGATAGAGTCAGGATGGCTCACAGGCTTTCACCAGAGCAATTAGGACACATAATAGAAAAAGGATTCTAGTCCCAGATCTGCCACCTATTCCCTGAGCAACTTTGCACATAACACTTCTCTTGGCATCAGTTTCTACACTGATAAAGAAGAGGAATGGACTTTACTTATAAGGCCCCTTTTAGCCCTGCTATGCTGTATGGGTTCAAGCAAGATACGAGAAACTCCTGATTTGATTTTTTAAAAAGATGAGTCTGGAGATTCATCCAAGGCAGTTCTCAGGCATTTTCAGAGAGCTCCTACTTGGATGATTGAAAGACCTATTGAATCTCAATTGTGCTCTTTCTGCCAGTGTCTTCCTTCCCCACTCCAACGCATTGTTGTGACAAGAGACCCTCATTAAAACATCTCAACATTCTGAATTTGCACACACTCTTATCTTTGCTTGTTTTTGAGTTGTTGAGTAGGAGAATGAATATAGCAGAAAAGGATGGTGGCTTGTTGGATTATATGCTTAATATTTTTGGAAATATCCCTTAGGTACACAAGTTCATTGGCTTGTTGGGAGGTGGTGTTTTCACTGACATTTTGTAATGAAAACAGTGCCTAGCACTCAGTGCGTGCTCAATAAATATTTGTTGAATGCATGAACATTCTTTACTTTCTGACTGTTGGTCAGCTCTGTAGCAAACTTTTATGCACAGCTTTGCCTTTTTATGCCTCTCTGACTCGAAGGATTATTTTTTTCACACTGCTCACTATGGATATTTATACATACATTCTGACATCAATGGATTTACCATTGACTGAATCTAACGTTGTTTACAGTAAGGAAAGATGAGATTCCCTAAATGGTTATTAAATTAAGAAGAAGAGGAATTTCTTGTTATGGCTATATAATAAAATTACAAATTCTTTATTTTTGTTTATTGCCTCCAATTTTTTATTTTATTTTTTTTTAATATATTTTATTGATTTTCTTACAGAGAGGAAGGGAGAGAGATAGAGAGCTAGAAACGTCGATGAGAGAGAAACATCAACCAGCTGCCTCTTGCACATCCCCTTCTGGGGATGTGCCGGCAACCAATGTACATGCCCTTGACCAGAATCGAACCCGGGACCTTTCAGTCCACAGACCGACGCTCCACCACTGAGCCAAACCAGCTTTGGCGTTTTGCCTTCAATCTCTTAGAACCCTTTCATATTTGATAATTAAAATACCCTTGCTAATGCCTTTTTACAGGGGAGACCAAAACACAAAGAACCTCACTATTTAGCTGATACCACCCATATATATAATATAGCTAAAAATAGAATCAAAAGTTCACTTTCTGATTCTTGGTACAGTGCTCTTTTGATATATATTTTACCTTGTTCAAGTTTAGACTGCCAGGTGCCCCACTGAGCAGATTTATAAAAGGTTAGTCCTGAGTTTGATTTTTATAGATTGAATGTCACAGTAGTCAATGATGGTTAGATTGTCATATCAAAGCTTTGCTAACTGTGACTCTTTGGGTTGGCAGAACATTTGCAAAATGTTCTGTTGAAATCATTGTCACACCAAAGTATTCTCTGTTGCAAATCCCCAGCAGTGTGTTTGACATTTCTCCTTCCTGCCCCCTCATCTTTCCTCTGTGCCCGTAGACCCAGTTAATGGGACTTGAATGCATTTTATTCCTCTTAGCAAAAGGAGAGAACCTTACCAAGTAGCATTGTACCGTATTGACCTCTTCCCCCCAGGAAATAGCATCTGTTGATTTCAGCTGGGTCCTCAGGGGGTCTCTGGCTGATAACTGTTTTGCTCGGTTTATTTGAATTTGCAGTGCGGGTCTGGGATGTCCGGCCATTTGCTCCCAAAGAGAGATGTGTAAAGATATTTCAAGGAAATGTCCACAACTTCGAAAAGGTGAGTTCAGCCTAGCAAAGGCGTTCTGTCCTTTTGATTCAAAGAAACATTGAAGATTGTGCTAAGGTGCAGTATCTACATACATCAAATCATTATGTTGTACACCTAATACGATGTTATGTCAGTTTTATCTCAATTTAAATTTTAAAAGAGAGAGATGGTGCTGAGGCTAGAGATCAATAGCTCTACTAAGGGGCTGCATTCCAGTAACACTGTTCTTCATCAAAACTGTTCTTGCTAGAAAAAAAATTAGTAGAAGGCAATCGCATAGATAAATGGTGATGGCACCAACCCTCCAATTTAGGATTTCCAACGTCAATAAAACACTCATATCCTTTTAATTCCTTGGTAACTTTAACCCTCTTAGGTTTCTTTCCAAATGGGACCCAGGCTCCTGTGGCTATTACCCAAACATCCTCCGTCACCTCCCAGGGAGCAGCTGTTCAGAGCCCTGAGAGTACATCTCTCTGCAGTAAGCACCGTGGCCCCAGTTCCCAGAGACAGAAATGTCTTTTAAACTCACAAAGCCCCGGTCAGCTCTTAAAAGCAGCTTTTCCCCAAGATAATTTGATAATAGAGACTCTTTTGAGATCCCATTAAGATTGTTTAACTTTGTAAATGAAATTTTATTTTTTGTTGGATTTGGTTTTCTTTTCCTTCAAGATAAAGTTTTTAATAAGGATCAAGGTAAATGGAGCAAAGGGAGCCTCCATTTGTAGGTAGAACAAAATTTTTGTTGCCAGGTCCAGTCTGATTTACTATAAATTAAGCATTTTCTAAAGTTGGTTTTTATATGGTGTGAAATGATAAAGTATGCTGTCTTGGGCCACAGAAGCTATATATGTAAACAGGGAATATGCTAATTAGACAGGCGTCATGACCCTCAGGAGGAGGCTGCATCACAGCCGCTTGGGAGGGAACTGTGTGCTGGCCTCAGCCCGAGTGGCCGCGGGGAGGCTGGGGCTGGGGGCAGGCCAGAGTGGAGACACAAGAGCACCTGCCCCCATCCCAGCGGACACAACGCAGCAGCCAGTGCTAGATCCCAGCCCCCGGCGGGGCGCCTCCTCGCACAATTTCAGTCACGCATTGGGCCTCTAGTAAAGAATAATTGCTGATCACCTTTCTTGGGAGAATAATTAAAACTCAAGAAATGTTAAAATCTCTTGATTATTCTGTAGTCTAACAAAGAGGGGTTTGGTACATTACTATATTCATTGGATTCCTGCTTATTCATTATTTCAGAATCTTCTGAGATGTTCTTGGTCACCTGATGGAAGCAAGATAGCAGCTGGCTCAGCCGACAGGTAAGTGTGGCAAAGAATGATAGAACTGTCTGGCTGATGTGGCTCAGTGGTTAAGCATCAACCCATGCACCAAGAGGTGGCTGATTCCTGGTCAGGGCACATGCCCACGTTGTAGGATGGATCCCCAGTGTGGGGTGTGCAGGAGGCAGCTAATCCATGTTGATGTTTCTCTCTTTCTCTACCTCTCCCTTCTTCTCTCTCTCTCTCTCAAATTATTAAAAACATATAAAAGAATGATGCTGGTATCTTCTCATGTTTAATACATTCAGTTTGGATACTGAGCTAGAGTAGACATAAGAGTATAACCTTGTATACTGTGTAGAGTTTAAAGATCATGTCGGGCAAGCGCATCATTTCTACCCTCTTTGGATACATTTTAGACCTGAAGGATAAACAATTTCTTTTGATTCTGTTGCATTTCTTATCTTATATCATAAAAAGGTAATATGCAAATTGACCCTAATGGTGGACTGGCCATTCACCATGGTGTGCACTGACCACCAAGGGGCAGATGCTCAATGCAGGAGCTGCCCCCTGGTGGTCAGTGCACTCCCACAGGGGAAGCTCTGCTCAGCCACAAGCTGTGCTGATTGGCAGTGTTAGGAGCCTCTCCTGCCTCTTTGGCAGTGCTAAGGATATCTGACAGTGGCCTAAGGATGTCTGACAGCTCCCAGGCTGCCAATGGGATGTCTGACTGCCAGCTTAAGCCCAATCCCCCAAGGAGTGGGCCTAAGCCGTCAGGTGGACATCCCCCAAGACTGTGCAAGCCGGGCTGAGGGGACACACACCCCTCCCAGTCATGAATTTTCATGCACCAGGCCTCTAGTCATAATAAAATTCAGACTCATAATCTGACTTCAGTTTCTTTCATCATATTCTTCATCAGAATCTATTTCTTTCATCAGAAGAAACTGATTCTTCATCAGTTTCTTTCATCAGATGCTTCAGTTTATTTAAATACATACTGTGTATTCTCTTCGCCCACCATCTCCACAGTGCTTCACTCACGTGGAGCTTTCCTTTTTCTACATCCCTTGTGCCTCCAGTTTCTCTCTCATATCATCTCTTCTCCAGTATTCAAACTCCTATAACTAGTAATCACCTCTCTGTTATGCCTATCAACTTTTCATGGTCCTCTCTCTCCTTTACCTCTTGGGCATAACGGATTCCTCTTTGTTTTGTGCTGTTGTCACACTTTGTACACCTAACCTTTATTAGCATTTATTACATCTTATAGTAAGTAGGGCACCCCAGAACATTATTTGCTCCTAGAGGTCAGAGAATGAATCTTAGTCATCTCTGAACCCAGGGCAGTGTTTGACCTATTCTAAGCACTTAGTAATATTATATGAATGAATTCCTAGCCTAAGGTTGGCAGTCAAATTTCACCCTGCATGTGGTGACCTATGCTTGGAAGGATGACAGAGGTTGAATACAGATGTAGAATGGCAAAGATTGAGGAAGCCCTCTGGTGACAAACTCTGGGTTTCACTCCCATCTTTCTCTAGAGATTTCCCTGCTGAAACAGGCACCATCCTATAAACATAAAGCCTTTCCTGGGCTAGATGGGGCTTTCCACATGTTCCAGGGTCTTCTGTTTGTGGCCCGGGGACAGCCATAGAAAAACCTCATTTTGGTCTGTCCCACACCTTTATATTTGTGAACATACCTAAAGATTCCAGAGTTTGCCTTTTTTTTTTTTTTTTTTTTTTTTTGGCACGTTTAATGCCAGGAAAAATGAACAAACCAGTATTTGGCTATTTTCTGGGGAGGAAAGGGCTCCTGGTGGTTTACAGAACTACCTTGAAAGAATCTAGGAGATTTTCAATTGTCGGGTTACTAAAGATCTTAAACAGATCTACAACATAAGGTATCTTGCATTCTGACAGAGTAAGAACCATTCTAAGTATTTTTACATTATTTTCAGCATAGAATTTTGTATCTTTCCTCTGTACTTACGCTTTTAAATGACATTTGCCTAAGCTTTTCTTCCCAGCAGTTTGTTTCTGACATTCATTGGCCCTGACTTTCAATGTCCTCTCTCTCTCTCCCCACTGTTCCTTTAAACCTTCCATGTGGAAGCATGGCTCTGGTCTGGGGAGAGTCTGCTTGTCTACCTGCTGGGGTTGGCCAGATTTCACAGGCCTCCTCGCCAATTAGCCCAAAGGCAGCAAGCAGCTCTGTTACATAAAGAGCCTGGTTCCTGCCGAACGTTGCCATGCCAGAGTAACGGGAGGACATGGAACCCTCTAAATTTAGCGCCTAATTGGCAGCCATGGGGAGTGAGGCCTTGAAGTAGACCTTTGGAGATCTGGGTTCTGCTGGCCTTTAAGTGCCTGGGAAATGTGACTCTTCTCAGAAAACTGCTTTTCAGCTTGGCCTGGATTTGACAGATTTCCCCTCTCTACTTGCAAATCACCTGCCTCCTCATGTTCAGACTTGAATCCCTTCAAAAGTCTCATCACAGACTATGGGAAGACCAGCCAGTCTTTCCACTCTGAGTGATTTATTTAACCTCTTGATTTCATATTATTGTATTTTGATAATTGATAACAATTGTGTTTGTCGTAGCAATAGCTATCATTAATTTTGAATGCCAGGCATTTTGCATACATTATCTTACTCTCAATTAAGCTATGGAAACAATATTATCTCCATACAACTAAGGGAAGAGAAGCTCAGAGAAGTTACGTAAATAATTGTCTAAAGTTATTTAGCTATTAAATAGTTGCACTGAGACTTGAACCCAGGTCTTTCTGACTCCAGAGCTCATACACTTTTTCACCATGGCACATTGTCCTCACCTGGATTCATGAGGACAGTGACTTGTGCTTGGCAGGAAAAAAGACAGTAGGGAGAGCATGAGCATCAGAGCCAAGGAGTCTGTAGGCAGATAGGGTTCCTGCTTCTTTTCCATCTTGCTTGGAGCTTTTGTTCAGTTCCCGTGGAGCCTACCTTTTGAGAACTAAACAGTATAATTCCAAAGCTCTCCTTATTTATTTGCATTTTAGACTAGAAGTATTTACTAGGTCTGTCACATCAGAACTAGGCATTTTATAATCAAGCACACTGGTGAGTGTTCCCTTTTAAGTGTTGACCGAACGAAACAAATGTGTAACTTTGTATAACCTGGTTGAAACCAGGAGCCCTTTGAATGTACCAACAGGTTCTTTTGCATGATAATATGAAGATAATATCTCTTTATTTTACTTTCAGTTTAAAATGACCCAAGCAAGGTTGAGGGTCAAAGGAACTTCTTTATTGGGGGATGTGGGAGACGAGGTGTTTGAGGGGGTTAAGCAAAAGAAGAGTACTGGAATATATTAAGAATGCTGATTTTGCCGAAACCGGTTTGCCTCAGTGGTAGAGCGTCGGTCTGCGGACTGAAAGGTCCCGGATTCGATTCCGGTCAAGGGCATGTACATTGGTTGCGGGCACATCCCCCGTGGGGGGTGTGCAGGAGGCAGCTGGTCGATGTTTCTCTCTCATTGACGTTTCTGGCTCTCTATCTCTCTCCCTTCCTCTCTGTAAAAAATCAATAAAATATATTTTAAAAAAAAAAAAAAAAAAGAATGCTGATTTTACTTCTGACACTGACGAACAGTGTCAACTTGGAAAAGTCGCTGTACCGTAGTTTTCTTACCTGTTAAATGAGGTCATGCTAGCTGGTTTCTGTTGGCCCCTTCCCATGCTAGTATCCTTTCTGCTCATGAATTCAGTGCTAGATTTGGGTCAAGTGTATATTTGGGTTATGTTTATGTAGCACAAATTTCCTGTTCCTTCTCTGGCTACGTGGTTTCAATACTAGAAGTTCAGGTGTCTCTGCAACTTAGGCTCCCAGCCTACCATGCATTGGGTTACCTTTAAGACATTTCTGGGTGCGTGTGATGTTAATGACAGCCTAATTATATGGGTGCTTTTTTTTTTTTAATATATATATTTTATTGATTTTTTACAGAGAGGAAGAGAGAGGGACAGAGAGTTAGAAACATCAATGAGAGAGAATCATCAATCAGCTGCCTCTTGCACACTCCCCACTGGGGATGTGCCCGCAACCAAGGCACATGCCCTTGACCGGAATCGAACCTGGGATCTTTTAGTCCACAGGCCGACGCTCTAGCCACTGAGCCAAACCGGTTTCGGCTATATGGGTGCTTTTTGAGGAAGATTTCTTTATGGCGTCTGTAGGAAAACCTGTCTTTCTCCTCCATGTTCTTTCCAGTTTCCTAAGCTTATGTTTAGGAAAGTAATGTAATGCCTATATTTTTGGCTCTTCCTATTTCTCCAGTCAGTTGCTCAAGGACAGGTTCATGCTAATTATCACAATCTGTATTCCTAGTTTCTAAAAGTCAGAATACAATTCAATAAACATGGGGTTAATAAATAGTTGCTTCCATTTTCCTTAAAAAGCCATGCTTCTAGCCAAAACCGGTTTGGCTCAGTGGATAGAGCGTCGGTCTGCGGACTGAAAGGTCCCAGGTTCGATTCCGGTCAAGGGCATGTACATTAGTTGCGGGCACATCCCCGGTAGGGGGTGTGCAAGAGGCAGCTGGTCGATGTTTCTCTCTCATTGACGTTTCTAGCTCTCTATCTCTCTCCCTTCCTCTCTGTAAAAAATCAATAAAATATATTTAAAAAATAAAAAAAAAAAAGCCATGCTTCTATCTACCCTCAGCCCTGAAAAGCCTTAGCTTTGTTCTTTGTGGTGCCTTGCAGGTTTGTGTATGTGTGGGATACCACAAGCAGGAGGATTTTGTATAAGCTGCCGGGCCATGCTGGCTCCATCAATGAAGTGGCTTTCCACCCCGACGAGCCCATCAGTAAGTCTCTCCTGACTCTGGGGAAAAGGAAACCATGGGAATCTCCCAAAAGGATCCCCGAGAACACAGAGGCAAAGTTGGATGTCTGTTTTCTGTGAATGTCCATGCAGACATGGGTAACAATGGTAGTCATAGTTGTTTAAAGTGGTGAGGGTAAGAGCAGTGTTTCGTTTTATAACTTAACCCACGTTTTATTGGCCGGCCCATCATTTTGTAAATAATGGGCCTTGGATTTAAAGGAGAAAATGTAACTTTCTCTAGGACTAAGCTCTTTTACACAATGGAAGCACCAACATTGATTTTTCTTTTCTAGAATAACAAGTCTTTTTCTTAGGGTTTTACTGAAAAGAGACATTGAGATATAGAGCCTGGTAATTATTTCCCATAGCACAGTCCACCCTCGTGATTTCGAGAGGATGTGGATGGAAAAGCCAGGCTGTGAATGCTGTTTAGGAGAAGGGGGGTTTAAGCTAAATCCAATTGCTCTTTTATACTAAAATTGGCTCTTGAAATAAGAGCCTTTGAGCACCAAGTCTCCTTGAGCCTTCATTATTTCCAGTTATTCTCTATTCTCTCACCTCAGTTCTCTCAGCATCCAGTGACAAGAGACTGTATATGGGGGAGATCCAGTGAAGATCAGGAATGGAAGCCGCCAAGGCTGCTTGACCTCAGACTGCATCAGTGACATCAAGAGATGCCCAAGCCCAGCATCCTCCCGTCAGATGAAGATCAAGAAACCCGTAGGAGATGCTGTATTCCAACAACCACATGCATCTCATTTCACCAGGATGGATGATTAAAGCAAGCTTACAGAGGCCTCTCAAAACCACCTGCCAGATTTCAGGGACTGTTTGGTTTTTTCTTCTTTCCTTTTTTTTTTTTTTTTTTCTTCTTCAAAGGGACAGACATTGGTTGGTTTGTAGTTTCCTGTTTTCTCATCCAGATTGAAGACAGGGAATGTGACTGAAATTTGCTTATTGTGGATTTGTTTTAATAATTGGCTTGTATATTTTATTTCTGTTTCTCTGAGTCATTTTGTATTAAAAAGCCAAATAGATGCCTTTTTACAAGAGCCGTGTAGATTGGATTTATTGCTATCTTTTCTTTGATACTTGACCACTGTAAATCTGAGCAGGACATGATGTGGACAGGTGACACATTCCAGTTAAACTTCCAAGAAGCCGTTTACTAGGATGTCTTTGGCTTTTCCCTCTTTTATGTGTGTTTTTGGTTTTTTGTGGGGGTTTTTTTGTTTGTTTACTGTACTCATTCCCGTGAAAATGACAGAATATCAGTAACAAATACTGCGCTCCTATTAAGAACATAGCATCAATTTCTTTAAGAAATGCCAATAGTTGTCTCCTACCCCCAAGACAGGTTACTGTCTTCCTAGATCATTTATGATAGTCAAGCACACAAACCAGTGCTCATGGATTCCATCTAATGGGAAAGTGAAGTGTATGTTTTCTGAATCTCATATTTTTAAAAAAATATATCATTGATTTTTTCACAGAGAGGAAGAGAGAGAGATAAAGAGCAAACATTGATGAGAGAGAAACATCGACCGGCTGCCTCCTGCACACCCCCTACTGGAGATGTGCCCGCAACCAATGTACATGCCCTTGACTGGAATCGAACCCGGGACCTTTCAGTCCGCAGACCGATACTCTATCCACTGAGCCAAACCAGTTTCGACTGAATCTCATATTTCATAAAGGTCTTCATGCCTCCAACCTGTTCTAACATGTTTGGTTTTATACTTAAGCTCACCAACCTGAATCATCTGTGTATCTTAACTTATGACAAAGAAGGAATGGTTTTAAGTGAGCACACGTCCAATATTTAACTCATTAATGAAGGAACCAGGGGGATGGTAAAGCTACCAATTCAATCACTTTTAATACACTGGGGATAAAATTTTAATAAAGACCACTGGAAACAGCAATTTATTGTACCTGGGAGCGTTAAGAGAGTTTTCCACATTATGTGATTATGCTTAGATTGGGACTTAACAAATGAGTGGGGCTTTTGCCAGATGGACAAAGAACATATGCGTTGAACTTCAGCATTGTTATGGGGGGAGAACAGTAGGTGATAACCAAGTCCTGGAAAGCTTGTGCTTCATGAACCTGATCCTATAGGTTGAGGTTTTCTAAAGGATATTCCACAGAACACTGTTTCCCAGGTACGTTAGAAACATTGGGCCTGAAGATTTAACTGCCGGACTGCTTGGACCCTTTAGGGTACAAGTTATAGTGGGATCTTCAAAGGGAATGATGACTCATTTCGGGCCTGAGCAATAATTACATGTATGGTTATGCCTTTAACCAGGAGAGGTTTGACCAAAGATGTTTTGCAAACTGCTTTTCACAGCTCCCCCACTGTCACAGGTTACTCCCTAATCCCTTTTAAAGTCCACATACCTCATAATTAGTTCAGTGCCCTCCGCTCACCCTTCTTTCTTGGCTTGGGGTAAACCGGGGCTTGAACCTTGACATTGCACTTTTAAAAGCCTAATAATCCCTTGAGAAGTTGGCAGTGATTGGGTAGAATGGGGGCCCTGGAGACTGCAGGGCTTTCCTCTAACCTTAGCCTCTTCTCCTGTCAAGTGCCTCCAAAGGACTGGGGAGAGGCTATTAGTAGGAAATAGCAGCACCACTTAGAATTTGAGGAAAATAGAGGCCCTCGCCTGGGGAATAGATTTGAGTATAAAACATCCCCAGAGGGTACAAATTGTATTCTCGCTTTGGGAGAGAGATTGCTCCCGAATGAGTAATGGCATCTCTGGTGTTCAGTTAATTTCCCTTTGACTTCCACCGTCTCTTAACACTTAATACTGTTGGCACTTGAAAGAGCCAGATTTCCGCACCCTTCCCCCCTCCCTCCCATTGGATGGTTGAGTTTTGTAGACTGAACTGTCAGGGAGGTGGATTTGGACAGGTCAGGGCTCTTGTCAGAGTTGCTTCTTCACAGTGAAACTGCAAAGTTATTTGTTCTCACAGATAGACCTGGCGTCTGCTGCTTGTTAATTCTCAAGGTGTGTGGATGGGAACCTGCGGTGTGAGAGCCCTGGGCAATTCAGGGCTGCAGGCAGTTAGGCCTAAGGGAAAAGCTGTCAGGCCATCTGAGTTAGGACAGAATTGCTCCTTCCTAGGGATTTTAGGGTGTGGCCTCTGTGTCTCAGGACAGAAGGAGGGGCCAGACTTACAGCCTCTGTTCCTGTGGGACCAAATGAAGCCAAATTTGGGTTTTGAGCCTGCACACTTAGTCAACTATCTCCGTACCCCAGACCCATAATGATCTTTCTCCAAAAAAGCTCTGAGCGGGCACCCGCCCTCTGCATAAATCCCTCAGCTATCCCAAACTCTCCTTTCTTCTAGGCTTCAACTTCTTTTTCTCACCTGCCTCTGAAACCCACTTACATTCTTAGGTTCGTCTTTAACCTGTGTCCTCTAGAGCAGTAGGGCTGATCTGGGCAATGTTGCCTTCCAAGGACATGTGTCAGTACCTGGAGACATGTTTGATTGTCACCACTGAAGAGCACATCTATGGGCGAGGCCAAAGGTGCTCAAAGAAATTGGGTGCTCCCCAATGCCGTTCGTGGTGCTGAGAAACCCTGTTCAAGCACAGTGATTCTCAGGGTGTGGTCTCTGGACCAGCAGCATCAGCATCACCTGGGAACTTGCTAGAAATGCAAATTTCAGAGCCCCGCCTGAGACGTGCTGAATCAGACAGTTTGGGGAAAGGAGGTATTCAGCCATCGTTTAACAAGTCCTCCAGGTGATTTTGATGCAAGTTTGAGAACCACTGCTCTTCAAACTCAAAAAATGTTCATCTTTCCTAGGAGAGCCACAGAGGCTTCTCATGTCTACTCATTTTTAAAAAAATATATTTTATTGATTTTTTACAGAGAGGAAGGGAGAGAGATAGAGAGCTAGAAACGTCGATGAGAGAGAAACATAGACCAGCTGCCTCTTGCACACCTCCCACCAGGAATGCGCCCGCAACCAATGTACGTGCCCTTGACCAGAATCGAACCGGGACCTTTCAGTCCGCAGACCGACGCTGTACTACTGAGCCAAACCGGTTTCGGCTCATGTTTACTCATTAATAGTTGTCCTTGCCCAGCCAGCATGGGTCGGGGGTTGAGTGTCGACCTATGAACCAGGAGGTCACTGTTCCATTCCCGGTCAGGACACATGCCCAAGTTGTGAGCTCAATCCCTAGTGGGGGCATGCAAGAGGCAGCCGATCAGTGATTCTCATCATTGATGTTTCTATCTTTCTCCCTCTTTCCCTCTCTGAAATCAATTTTTAAAAAGTATTTTTTTAAATAGTTGTCCTTAACTAGTTAGCTGTTCTTTCTGGCTCCATGTTTTATGCATTATCTCATTTGATTGTCACATACGGGTCAACAGGTTCAAAGGGAAGTAATACCCCAGCCAACTTGGAAATGGCAAAGCCAGGATGTAAATCCAACTAGAGCTCTTACCCTATCATCATGATGTTGGCCTTAGAATGCACATAGAATCACCTAGGTAGCCTTTAAAAATCCAGATGCTTAGATCATTTCCCCAAGCCAATTAAATCAGAGTCCCTGGGGTGAAAATCAGTATATTTTAAAGCTTCCTTAAGTGATTGCAATGTGCAATCAAGGTTGAAGACACTGGTGTTAGCCAACGCTATGACTACAGCCAAGAGGGCAGTCTAAAGCTCAACTTGCCCTGCCACCCTCTGGCTCTCAGGAAAAGCACTGCTGCTGTGGATTTTTAAGAACACTTCTCCCAAAGTCCCTGGCTCAGCTGAAAGGTAGGAGCTTGGCCAGAGAGCAAAGGCTAATTCACTGTGATCATCTCTGCTTGGTGAGATGGGTTTTGTGTAGAAAGGCCGCTGACCTGCCTTTTATGCCCCGAGTATAGCATCCATGGAGCGAGGGCTAGAAAGGACCTTAGGTCGTTGAGTCCAACCTCCTTTTACAGAAGGGGAGGCTGCGTGTACATACAGTTTCCCAAGGTCACATGCATGTAAGTTAGTGGTTTTGCCTATTCAGGAACCATTTATTCAGCACCCCTCGGTGGCAGGCCATGGCTAGTTCTGAGAATACAGAAATGATAGTCCTAGCCTCTTTGGGGGCTCCTGGGGCACAATGGTGGGAGAAAAACAAAAATTAGGGCTTCTCAATCTTCTCCATGAAATGTTCTTAATGGCCAGAGAGAATGAGCTGGAGCAGAAAGAGGGACTCCTGAGATTATTTTTGAAATTTTAGCATGAATTTGTAAAATGTATAATTTAACCACCCCACCCCGACATTTTATTTTGAAAATTTTCTAACAGTCCCTAACATTTTCCACTTTACAATGGTACAAAAGCAATACGCATTCAGTAGAAACTATGCTTCGAATTTTGAGTTCTGATCTTTTCCTGGGCTAGCGATATGCAGTATGATGCTGCCTTGTGATGCTGGGCAGTGGCAGCGAGCCACAGCCTCCAGACAGCTGATGTTTCACTGTGTAGTTACTAAATGCATTTTTTACTTATGATACTTTCCACTTACAACGGGCTATCGCCCCATCGAAAGTCGAGGAGCATCTGTATGTTCCACCTAGATTTAACAATCTCTTGCCTCACATGCAT